AGGTTATTAATTTTGTTTTAATAAGAGTACGGATGAGTCCTTGTTCTCTTTGAGAAAGAATCGTTTTGATTTAGAACTCGAATTAACTGCGATGTCCGAATGGATTAACCCTTAAAAGCTTCATTTCAAATCTCAACTACTTGAAGCTGCACTGTCCATATATAAACCTTCTTGATCGTGTATAACTCTAGATCAAATAGACCAAATTAAAAAAAAATTACATATGAAATAGGAGTAGAAAAACTGAAAAATATAATAGAATTAGAAAAATTGTCAATAATTAATATTAAATCGTCCAAAAACATCAATTTTTGAAGATATATGGACTATATATGGACTTAGTAGCTTTTGAAAGTTAATCATAAATACAAAATGCAAAATTATGAGAGCAGATTACAATTACGAGGAAACTTCGAAAGCGTGTGTAACGTTGCATATAGAGTTTGAGATCCGTTAGTTGTATTTAATAACCTCGCAATAAGGAGGATAATTTCATTACGGTGTATCGATGGCATACTCGATCGGACCTTGAACACGTCACAAGCGCCGTGGATTTTGTGGAACGTGCTCGCAATAAAGACAACGTGCGCGTCGCCGCCGGACCAAAAAAGCGGAAGCTATGCGGTGCGCGGGAAAGGGAGAACGGATTGCATCCTAGTTGCGGCGCAATAGCGGGAAGCTCGCGGCGTTAATATCGCGCTTTATTGTGCAGCCTTTCACGGCCGATGAGAAGTGCAAGAGTCTCTTTTGCGGCTCTCAGGTGCCTCTTCCTTGATGCGGCTACGTGTGTACCGAGCCGTCGGTGTGCCTACGTATGTGTGCGCGTCGATATCCGGCCGTGGCATCATATCCGGTTTTCGCGAGAGAGAAATTCTCTCTCTGTCTCTCTCTCTCTCTCTCTCTTCCTCCCTCTTCCGAGTAAGCGCAACGGCTAGATTAAAATTAGATAAAAAAGAGAATCAAGTTTCACCCTGAGAGATAGTCGCGATGTTCAACGTATGCGTTGTCCCGATCGATCTAGTCCGCGGCATGGGCACCGACAAGCGCCTTCCCCGCGGAAATAATGCACGATGTTTGTGTCGTCGTAATGTTGCTAACGGGTGCGGCCGCCGCGAATTTCGCAACGAGATACACCCGGCAAAAATGTGTCAGTCGCAGAGCAGAAACGCTCCGTCGTCGTACGTGGCGTGGATGTTTTGCGGCGATTTCGTTGACGTGGCCTGTTTTAGGAAGCGCCGGGGATACCCAGCGCCCATCCTTATGCAGCTTCCTCCATGACTGCGTAACGTGAATGTAATTCCTATTATCGGAAAGGAGCAGGAAAAGAGAAACGTGACTCTTGCATCGCTTCCCGCTCGCTATACAGCTCGCTATCATTGTATCCATTGCATGTGCGCGACGGGGCATATATATATACGTGAATACGCGCGTACGTGCGTACTTATACACCGTCAGAGAAAATATGAACTTTACGCCGTAGGTACGGCGAGTTCGTCTTCGAAAAGACGAAAAGTTACGGTGGAAGTTTAGCGCCGTAATTTGCGAGCAGCTCCAACGCATAAAGAATCAACGCGAAACTTAAGTTCGTAGCAAAACCTACGTATCTGTGTGTACAACTATTATGCCCGCAGACATTAAGATATGCTCGCAGGTGCTCGCCTTTGTCTAAATACTCTAAATATATTCCGTTTTCATTTTCTGCCCCATGAAGTACCTTACACTATCTACTAACGCACAATTAAGTCATTTTATGACCGGCGGAAATTCTTCGGTCTCATATATTTAAATAAATTATGTAAACTTTTTCGTTTGAATATCGCGAGTACTCTCGAGTTCAGTGGGAGAACATAAAGTTTCAGAAACTTCAAAAGTTGCACCAATCCTTTAAACATTGTTTGCTCCCGGGGTCCGCGCGTTCACGAGGTCCGCGAAAAGTTTTCCCCGCAAGTAATTTGGGCTTGGACTTTAACGTATGCGCTCGCTTAAAAGAACGACGCGAAAATACACGAGTCACCGCTCGATACTTGGGCGAATAATAATCGTCCGCCTAACGGCGAATAATAAGATCGATCGTACCCGCCAAACCATTGTCTGACGGCGAGCGAGCCGCGCCGCGGCCGGGCCACGCCGGAATGGGGAATAAGTAGTTTGATGGTCCACGAGATTTCTGAGAAGCGGAGTTCGGATTGAATCGGATCGGGCACTCCCGTGAAATCGCAGAAATGGCGAATCCACCTCTACCACCAAGTTAAATTTAGAACTCAATTGCGGTCGTTCGCGACCATTCGTTAACCCCGCCATTATACTCCGCTCTGTCCGTTCTCCTTTCTCTCTCTCTCTCTCGCTCTCTCTCTTTCATCCCTGTGTGTGCGCGCCTCCCTCAACCAACCCGTACCAACCACCTTTAACTAATGGGCGCGACCACTACCCGTCCAGTTAGGTACGTTCTTTTATATCCACTCGTCAATCAGAGACACAACACTCGGAGACGTTTTCTTCCTCGGTACTTTTCCGTAAGAAAGCTCGTAATCGTAAAAACCGACATTTCGCCCGCAAATCCCCGTCCGCTCTATATTATAATTTTTTTTCGCCGTCCGTGACGGCGTTTATATTTTTCGGTAAATCCGCGCGCGTCATTACCGGTTCCCACGCCGCCGTCATCGACCTTTCGTGATCCGTTTGATTTCATGGGCCGTTAAGTCTCGATTATACCGCCGCTTTCCGGATGATTCTACCGCGCGTTAACAAAGTAAGATACGTTGAGAACGGAAGTATATGATGGGAAAGTAGACAGGTGGAAAGAATGTATTCAGATAAAAAATATCCTTAAAACCTTTCGAAAATAAATTCACAATCATATTTGTTTGCTTTAGACAAAAATGACATAAAGTTTCGACAGTTTATGTTTAATCCGCAGAAAATGATTATGAAAGCAAATGTACATAGAATTACGGTAGTGCTTGAGTTGAATGGCATTAACATTCTCGGGTTGAAAAGAAACTGGAAATTTGATTGGAACCTTGTTTTACAGGGCGGAGGCGCGAAAGTAGAAGTGCAAACTCGAAGAGATCAGCGAGGGAGGTTCGCGTGCCGTGGCTCTTCATCCCCGGATTTATGGAATCGACCCTGGAGGCTAAAATAATAAAATTCCGCGGCAAACGTCGAATATACAGCTTTAACTTGGCCTTGAGGAATCGAGGCGCATAGGGGGTCAGGTGCGACGGTATAATCGAGACTCTTGCTTTGATATAATCTTCCTAGATAACACCGGCTGTGAATAGAAAGCATACAAACCGAAGACATACCTGAGCATGACGAGAAAGGGAGATTATACACCTCGCGATAAAAGAAACCTAGACCGTGCTGCGAACAGGGCGAACATATGTATAGAGAAATTACGAAAACTACAATCGGAAGCAAAATTGTAGACACCGTTCGACGGATTTCGCGTTACAAAGCTTGTTAGAGACAAGCACGATTCGTAGCGGCAAAGACAAATACATAACAAAGCGCAATCAAGCATAATAATAAAGAGAAAGATGCGAATACGAGAATATCTCACAAAGCGTACGGAAGAATGAAAGCATCGATTGTTGTACGCGCATTAACAGTGTATCTGATATTTATTAAAAAGGGAAAGAAATTATTCGGGCATTATTAATCCCGCAGAGCGATTCTGCAAAAGTGGAGCGGCAAAAATTTTTATTCCGCAACATTGCGACGATTTCAATAAAGCGCAGCGAAAAACAAAAAAATAAACAAGAACGGCACGAAGTTGCGGTGAAAACGGAGCGGCCACGTCTGCCGGCTAGAAAATATTTTTTCTGACAGTTGAATTTTCCACTCGTTCGCGACCGATTCCGTCCCATCCTTCCGATTCGCTTCTGACGATAGGATTCGTGAATTCTCCAACGAAATCGTTAATCGCGAAGTTCGCTATCTCCCCAACAACGAAAGTTGTCCCGCGTTTGGCGGTCCGAGTTGCGGAAGTAGAAAGTACCGAGGGGACGAGGACCGTTGTCACGGAGCCAAAATACCCATCGCCGAAACTGGGCTAAACTTTTTTCCGTCTCTTCCAGTCGGCACCGGGACTAGTTAGGAATATCCCGGGACGCGTGTACGTGTCGAATCCAAACGATAACATAATGCGATTCGCGAAATAGGGAGGCGCGGCCGTAAATTTCGGGCCCGTTCGAGCGGTTACAGCCGGCGCGATAACACAGCCGCCGAATAGGTACCTTGCAAATGAAAGAATGATGCATCCCGCGGGACGATGAAGAAAAGTTACGTCGGATATAAAAGCCAGGGTACAAGGAAAAACGGGCGTAACGTCTCGCGATACGAGATGCAATCAACCGCGGCGCGAGGAGGTGAGATTTAGTAATATAATATTTCCGTCTACACATATGCTTGCGGCTTTACTGAAAAATACAGATAAAACACGATAAAAAGAAGAGGAGAATTATACCCGCATGTTTTTCACATCGTGCATAAGGCAATTTAACTCTTAATTTTTACGTACGGCCGGTATTGTAAGTTCCATTGGACTTAATCAGACCGAAATTATTCTATATATTATGCGATAATTACACGATTCAGTGTGAGCCATGGTGCGATTAACCTACCGTTGTGCGAACTGTTACCGTAGGATATCTAAAAATGTAGAAAATGTATTTTACTCTAATTCCTTTCTTTGTATCTTCATTATCCTCAATATTACGGCAGAATGAATAAAAACGTGTTGACTGCATTTTAATAACTTTATAACTCGAAAGCGTTTTAATACATCACGTATAGTATTAACAAAAGCATTTCAAGATAATCATCAGACGCGAGTAATAAATATTTTCTTCGATGCAAAATACTTTTAAAACGAATGGACGTGCACGGAAGGTAGCGGGGAAAATATATACTGTAAAATAATTCGCTGTAGAAAGCGCATTTGTAACAAAGATATTAAACAGCACTTTATCCATCACAATGTTACAGGGCTTCGGATTTCGGCTAAGTCGCACGCGTGCCTGCAACGCTTCGAGAAAGGAGCCGTGTTAAAAGAATTCGACGAGAGACGCGTAAAAATAGAGAAAGCTACGAGACACCGACGAGGAGGAAATAAAATCGTCGCCACGATTCGACGAAGAAGGAGGGGTATTACTCCGTTATAGATTGCATCACAAACTGGCGTTAAGATGCCCTCTCTCTTTCTCTCTCTCTCTCCCTTCCTGTCTCAATTTTACTGCGGTCAGCCGCCTCGGGATACTTCGTGGGTATAAAAATCATAAACGCGACGCAGTAATAAACGTAGCTTTACCACCCATGGGATTTTTACAGGCGACGCAGAGCTGTACAGCTTCATGATTCTACGAATCCGTCGTCCGTGTTTGGCAACGTACACGGCGCTTCGATGCACCTGCCCGTATGAAGATATTTATGGATCTACCTAACACGGCGGACTAAGGCGCGCTTAAGGCGGAAGTAGAGCCGGCGGATGGTGAATGTTTCCTTGTTACTGCGTGGTATTTAAATAACTCGGTGAACTTGGAACGCGTGTTGAAATTACGACAGAGAACAAGGAAAAGGTAAAATATAATTGGAATTATATAATTAGATAATTTGTAGAACACTCTAATTAATGAGGTACGAATGAACCGCATGTGTGCGATACAATAATCGTGTACACTTTTATAAAGATCTTATTTTTTTGTAGTATTTCCCAGATATAATCTTCCGAATTATCTCTGTTCCGATCTCTTCTTCATCAGTCAACTGCTGTTTATGAACTAAATAAAATTGTCTCCTTTCTTATACAATATTCAAGAAGAAAAATAGAAAAAAAAAGAAAACCAAACAACGATATCGCACGGATATCTGTGCTTATTTGCGATTCGTATTGACCCAATTTTATTGATCAAAAATATAATCACAAATATAATATATATCGATTCATTTAATTAAACATGTAAATTTATTTAATCAATTACACAGATATGTAAAATCATTTAATTAGTTATCACTTTATTTAAATAGTTAATCAATTCACTATTAATCCGCAAATAATTCGCAAATATTTATATAACGCACGACAAAATAAAAGACGAATAAAACTGTAAAACGTTGCATTTTTCTTTCGCAGAAATGCCAGAAAGAAAAAAAAATTACTAATTTACCTATGCAATTTTTATTGTTAGTCGCGATTGACGCGAAGAAATTTAACCAACAGGTCACTTTCATCGGGATTTGATGTATATATACATTCGTCCCCACAGCGAGTCTATTTCAAGAGACGGCGAGAGTCCCCCGAAGGAAGCCACTCGATTTATTTTTAATTCGAACGCGGGATACCTGCATCTGCTCGTACCTCGTAAACCCGCAGACCCTCGTACATCGCGTATCCGCGCTTAGGAGATTTACGCCCGACGTTAAAAGGGACCATAACCCTAGCGATATCGTCCGTCGGATAATTACCAGAAAACGTCTATAAATCGCGCCGTGATGCGCGGTTTATTAAGCGCGTAATACGCCCGACGACTCTCGCCGTTGTTGTAATCCGATGGTCTCGCCGTTGACATCGCCGGGGCCGAGAGAGCGATTAAATAACTTTGCCTATCAGCGGAAGACGGCGAAGCGGCGAGTAAGCTAATTCGATGCGTACGTATTATATGTATCTACGACGTCGTACGGTCGCGGCGAGTTCGCGATAGCCCGCGATTTAATCCATCAATTACGCGACTGCAGATGTATTTAAGATCTTCCGGCGCTCTCTCACTCACACAGCTGCATTTCTCGGATTACTTTCAAGGAACGTCTCATCCGGCGGAAGTAGTCGTTGTACAAAAGAACTCTCGCCGAGGATTAAGCAGCGGCAGCTCGATTCCCGCTCGCCTTCTCTTCTCTCCTCATTCACCTCCCCCCCTCTCTCTCTCTCTTTTTCTCTCTGTCGGAAAGAACGAAAAGAAAACGTCCGGCTAATTTTTCTCAATCTTTGCGCGCATGTTCTCCCCAATCGCCTTCCTCCTTGTACCTCGGCGCTACGACAACGCCCTTATGAAATGACCGGGAAACCGGAAATTAGTCCCATTCGCCGAACAAACGAACCCCACGCACGAAAGTGCGTGCTCAAGCAGCGGCCGGCACGTGGCGAAAGATTGCAATTTGTAGGACGACGTGGAAGGAAATTAAGGTTGGCAAATTGGACCGCCCTACCGCCCGCAATCGGAATCGACGACCGTGCGATTGATCCTCGATGCGAGCCCGCACCGTATCCTAACGAAACGCGGAGAACTTTAACCGCTGATAACTCCGTACGTGTGTTCGTGACAGTCACGAAGTCCCCGAGTCGCTTGCCGGCTCGCCGGGAACATTGTTCTTACCGCAGTGCCATCCGCGCGTCCGATTATTTATCGCCGCGGCCCGCGAGAACGTAATTTATCGTCCCTCGTGCTCGCGAGGGAAACGCTAAAGTGCGGCGACGACCGGTGCGGACAATAACTTCGGCCCGATCGATTCGAGGCGAGGTGAGGCGAGGACTCGGCCGCGAGCCGAGGGAATTAAGAGCGAAACGCGGATATAAGAGGCGAGAATGATTTTCGGAAGGCGATGAGCTACGAGCCCTTCGTTTCAACAGACGCGCAGCCACCACCGACGAAATCCCCCTCGAGCCCCGACGGGGAAACACCGTAAGTAACGAGATGACTTCCCGGCCGATCATTTATTCAGCCAAACGACCGTCCCGAGAGCGCAGGAACGAGACGAGAGTGACTGTAGTTTCCTCAGGGGAACCAAAATTCCCGAAGTCACGCGCTCTCGTCAGGAAGGAGGGGTTCACCCAGAGGGTGTGGAAGAGATACGACAAGGGCGACGCGACGCCGACGGCCCGGGTTGTACGCGCGCGCGGAGCCCCCGTCTTGCCCAGAAAAACTGTTTCTCGTCGAAGTCTCGAACGCCGTTACGAATGGTGAATTTACGATCCTCAAATTGTCCTCGCGAGTCGTCCGAATTTCCACGTAAATCAGACGGCGTTTTCAACGCTCATGAATTATCCAGCGCGGTCTCGCTGGCGCACGACGTCGCCGGTGGTTTAATAAGCGAAGAGCTCGGTAGAGGTTGGCAATTAGCGTGAGATCGCGTAGATATAATTTCTACCTCAAACGACTGTACATTATTTTCAAAAAGTGTTATCATATTGCGCTCTGAGTAAATGGATTTTAAACGACGCGAGCGGCGAAAGCTGTACTGATAGTGCGATTCATTCTTTTGGCATTAACGAATAAATTTTAATAATAAACGTGCATATATACGCCAATTGATCCACATAGTATAATTGTACGGTTTTGTAATTAACAGTTTTACTAAATATTGATCGAGATATTGATGCTTGGAAATCGGATCTATATTAAACACAAGTCATAAAATGTATTGTTAAGCGATGCAATGCTTGACTTATAAAAAGAACTCTTTCTAGTACTTAAAATATAATTAGTCAACTTTATAAGAATAAATATTCTAATAAGTTTAGCAACGCTCGACCTTTTCTTTGTTATTTTATCGTTACTGCGAGTTCCAAAGTAGATTTTAGCGAATTATAAGTTTCATAAAAGACAAAAAACAGCGATAGGAATTCACTCCCGATATCTGTTTTTTTCCGGAACGGCAAAAGTTAATTGAGCGGAGAATGCGGGGATTGCTGGATGAATCCGTGAGCCGCTTTGACGCGCCAGAAATCGACTGGCATAAAAATTGTTTATAAAATCAACAGGAAGTATGCGAATGATAGCTGCTAAGAAATACAAAACAGTCCACGGCAACTTTATACTTCCTGTTTTTCAGTAGAGAAAGAAAAGCAGAAACGGGTTTTTTTTTTCTTCACAGAATAATTATTATTTAAATCAAAATTTTAAACACGCGCAGTTTTTTAAATCACGCATAAAATGTTAAATCTTATACTTATTTTAAATCGCCGAGTTACATAGGTTAATTCGCTCGGTTTAACGTTTACATCCATTTTAATTAACAAAAATTACATTTTGTTTCGTGAAACTTTTCTGAAAGTAAGGTAAATGTACCAATGCCTATACACATGCCTGTACCTATGTCTAGACATTTCTATCATTTTAGTCCTTAAATAAGTTATAACGTGAATTAAAATCAAAGAATCAAAGATAAAAATATCTTTCTTGTACTATACTTTTATCTTTAATTTTTAATTCGCGTTATACATATTTAAAAATTAAAATGATAAAGGTGTGCAGACATACCTGTCTTAAGTGTCCCGGCATTGGTACATTTACCTTATAGAAGCATACCGTATAGAAGTGGCATGCAATAAGAATGAAGGAAGTATTATTAAGCTTCTATTTACGATACTGAGAATGACGTACGATTCTGACCACGCGGCGCACGCTAGCGATACATTCGCGCGGGTATCAAACTTTTCTTCCGGACCACCCCCCGGTTCGGCCAATGCCAAAAGTGAGATAAGCCGAGTAAGGCTTGAATAATTCAGCATGATAAAGCATATCGATTATCCTCGTTTTGGCCGATGCCGCGGCCGAATATTCGGAGCAAGGAAACTCACGGCTTATGATATTTTCATTGGAGAAGGAGGCGGGGGAGGATCCATTTCCCCGAAATCGATGCTTTTCTGACAGTCGAGAAATACCGCTGGGGAATCGGGGAGAATCACGACGCGCTCGGCACGAACTACTGGTAGCCGACTACCGTAGGATTTGTCTTCATTTATCATTAGTCTGATGTCGGCAGATGAGCGATCAACAATCTTTTTTTTTCTTTTGCCATCCGTATATTAATGAACGATGAATTATCCAGTATGTTATTGCTTTCTTACTCAAAACAACATTTTTCTTATCAGTCTGTTCAAATTAAAATTTATTTATTTAATATAATGCAGGTCATCACTGTCTCCATTAAATACGCCGGATTAGTTATTCATCATCGTCTATTTTACGATATGACTCGGTAGAGAGTGGATATCAACAATGAAACTTTTCGCTCGAACACGATCGTCGCGGGAATGATTCTATTGGCAATTAAAATTCATACTTACGACGGTGTTGTTTCAACATAACGCGTGTTGGTAGACCATAATTAAATTTCATATAACCACATTTTCCCCTTATCCGTTTTATTACACACGCGGAAGCCGCAAAAGAGAACACACACCGACGGTTTACCTCGCTTTTTTCTCGTTGCAGCGTACAGAAAGGAAGACCCCGAGCGCTTGATCGCGATTTCGCTCCACGTCTATGTCGGGCGAACACAAAAGTACGCGCGACCCCCCGATGGCGCTCGTTTTCCGATATTCTTCCGCCTTCTGCTCGTATTGTTCGATCCCCGCCCGATCGTATCGAGCGGCTTCCGTCCGAAGACCAAACACTACTCTCCATAGTCTCGACGCGAGTCGCGCTATAAAGATTACGTTCGGCACACGGCGTTTTTATCACCGGATACCGCGCGCGAAAATACGAGCCTCCGATCGAATCCGCGATGTTAGTTTCGAGCTCGCGTTTTACGCCGGTTGCAGATAAAGGAACCCCTCCACGAGCGCGGCTTCTATTCGCGTTCAGCTTGAATAATTTTAAGAGTCTCGTTATATCGGGAGAAAAGGGACGAAATCTCGGTCGTTTTCTCGCGCGACGCCGACCGATACATACGTGGCGTATATATTGAAGGCCGAACGTGTTATATTTGAATATGTACGAATGCGAAAACGTATCAAGATCGATCCCGTATCTAGTCTGTCAGAGCGATCAATATTTCACGGCGCAAACAAAGAGGTCTTTTGTATTCAACGCTCTCGCGGAGACGCTCGCGATAAATAATCTAATAATAACTTACTATGGGCAAGTGATGTCGCCTCCTCCTCCTCCACGGAATTCATAATTGAACGAGGCAATTTTCGCGGGCGAACAAGGCGGCGGATCATTTTAATATGCTTTAAGCC